GGCTGCTGCATCAATCAGTTTGCTCTGGAGCAATGTTCCCTCTAAGGTGTGGAGTCTTGTGAGCAAAAAATTCTACTTTGTGAGCTACTGGCATTAAAGTTGTGAGTGAGCGACGTGGCTACTGCATAAATTAGTTTGCTCTGGAGCCCTCCTTCCTGAGCTAAGACAAAAATGTGTGAGCTGGAGGCTAAAAAATGGTGAGCTAGCTCACATTAACTCGGCTTAGAGGGAACACTGCTCTGGAGCCCCTCCTGAGCCAAGACAGAAATGTGTGAGCCAGAGACTAAAAAACTGTGATGTAGCTCACACTGACTCAGCTTAGAGGGAACACTGGTAACCAGGTTTCCTTTTTTTGGTGTCTGCCCTCTTTTGGACTCTTTTTAAAAAGCTGATGAAAATGTCCTCCTTTTGAGTTGGAAGGTTAGGAATATTCCTAGTTAAAAGCAATTATCACAGTTTAAATAGTAGGGGTATTTGAAATGAGATAGGACTCCAGGGCTGTCAGCTCCAGGATGAGAAATACCTGGATAGTTTGGAGGTGGAGTCTGGAGGGATTTCAGTAATGTTTAATGCCATAGGGGCCCACCTTCCAAGGTGGCCATTTTCTCCGGGTCAACTGATTTTTATTGCCTAGAAATTAGTTGTCATCCCAGGAGATCTCCAGCCATAAACTGGAGGCTGGCAACCCTATATGACTCCAATGGCACCTTTAAGACCAACAAACCTTAATTCTAGTTATAAACTCAGGTCTAGTAGCAACATAGTTTTATTCTGGGTATAAGCTTATAGGTAAAGGTAAAGGTTTCCCTTGCTCGAAAGCCAGTCAAATCTGACTCTAGGGTTGCGGTGCTTGAAGAGCCAGCACTGTCCGAAGACGTTTCCATGGTCATGTGGCCGGCATGACTAGCCAAGGCGCACGGAACACCTTCCCACCGAAGCGGTACCTATTTATCTTCTTGCAATTTCTTGCTTTCGAACTGCTAGGTTGGCAGGAACTGGGACCAGAGATGGGAGCTCACGCCATCATGCGGCACTCGGGTCTCGAACTGCTGAACTACCGATCTTCCAGCCTGCAGTTCACTTGAGCATCTGGCTTATACCCAGAACTATACTTTGGCCCTGGGCACACGGGCCGGATATTGCGGGGGGGAGGCGTTGCTAATTGCCCCGGCGCAGTTTGAGCCACGGTTATGCGATGCCAGTGGAACAGCACGGGTCCTTCCCTTGGCGCCAGCGGGTAAACGAGGGACCGGAGGGGAATGCCACGCACTGGAGCGATCACACCACGGGCGTCTGGAGGCAGCCCGTGGCAAACGTTTACTAGTACCTTGGAGGTACTAGTTTTTAAATCCGCATTGTCGGCGGTAAGCCACGGGTGCGCTCCACTTCACAGATGTTGGGGTGTGATCGTGCCCGGATAATCTGCCCACCTTCTGTGCTTCTCCCGCGGCAACTTTGCCGTGTGACCGGGGTCTTTGTTGGTCTTAAAGGTGCCAGTGGACTCAGACTTTGGTCTATTACTTCAGACCAACATGGCGACCCACCTGAATCTAAAATGAGCTTTGTCATAGTGATCACCTGTTTGAAGTAGTCAGTTGGGAAATATGTCCTCCTTTTTGCTTTTCAAAATATGGTAACCCTAGAAGTACCTTTAAATAAAGTTACGTGGAGGAATGGAAAAGAAAGAACTCAAGAGGCTGTTGAAGACTGTGTTGTAACCAAGTGGCCTAATTTTGTGGAAAATAAAAGCGGAAGGGGGTGGGAAGAGAGAAATGGGAAGAAGAAAGTTCCCCTACACTATATAGAGTAGACTGTTATTTCCCTCACTGACTATTGGAGAAAAGAGAATAAAGTGAATAAAAGTTTGGCTGAACTAACTGCTAGAGGAAAGAAACTGGAAACGAGGGCACTGGACATCTCAAGCTTTTACAATAATAGTTGTTTCAGGTGGGTAGTCGTGTTTGTCCGTAGCAGTAGAACCAAACTCAAGTCTAGTAGTGCCTTAAAGACTAACATTTCCCATGGTAACAGCTTTCACTCACTAAAGCCTGGAAGATTTCATTGGTCTTGAAGGTACTACTGGGCTTGAATTTCATAATACAATTTTATGACGTTTGAGTCCAGTGGCATCTTTAAGACCAACAAAGTTTTATTCTGGGTATAAGTTTTAGTGTTTTATTCTGGGGTCCCATCGTTCTGAGTGTTGTGATAAGTTGTAACTCAACAAACTCCCATTCTAGCCTGCTTCTGAAATTCTTAGTGCAGCACTCAGGAAAATGGGACCCCCCAGGGCTAAACAGAGATATCGGTTTCTTATCTCACAACACATGCTGATGTCATTCAGTTCTGGCATCTGTTTGTAAACACTTATTATGCTGTATGCTAATTTGCTGCTTTTCACAGATTTTACCAATTACCTTAATCCAATCTTCGCTATATATATTGCTCAGTTACTTATGCATCTTGACTCTAATCAGCTCTTCCTGGCAACACCTTCCCCGCTCTCTACTTATATGTAGGGCTGCCAACCTCCAGGTGGCACCTGAAGATCTCCCGCTATTACAGTCGATTTCAAGGCAATCAAGATCAGTTCTCCTGGAGACAATGGCTGTTTGGAGGGTGGATTCTATGGCATTATATCCTGCTGAGGTCCCTCCCCTCCCCAGGGTCTTCCTCCAAATTGCCAGGTATTTCCCTACCCAGAGCTGGCAACCCTACTTATATGTAATGGTTGGCGACTAGGCTTGCCAAGTCTCCCCGGGGAGCGAGGAAACCCCCACCCGAGAGGCCCGTTACCCGCCGCCGGCAGATCAGGCCCCGGGGGGGACCCCACCCCCAAAGCACGCAACATGCCCGGTGTCAGCACGTCACCCGGAAGTGACGCAATCATGTCGGGCACGTTGGGGGCAGGGCCACAATCATCCGAGGGGAAACTCTATGGTTTTCCCTCGGATGATTGTGGCCCCACCCCCAACGTGCCCGACGTGATTGCGTCACTTCTGGGTGATGTACTTGCGCACATGGACTCGCGGAACAAGACTGTACTCCCCCGATCTTCAACCGGTGAGGACTTGGCAACCCTTTTGGCGACTTCTACCCAGGAGAAGTGAGCTGTAACTCATGAAAGCTCATGCCCTGCCACCTATTCTGTTAGTCTTCAGGGTGGTATTGTACTTTTGCTTTTCTCTATTTCTGCCAGGAGCTGTGGTGGCTCAAGTAGTTAAGACGCTGAACTGCAGGCTGGAAGTTCGGTAGTTCAGCAGTTCGAGACCCGAGTGCCACATGATGGAGTGAGCTCCCTTCTCTGGTTCCAGCTCCTGCCAACCTAGCAGTTCAAAAGCAAGAAATTGCAAATAGATAAATAGGTACTGCTTCGGTGGGAAGGTAACAGCATTCTGTGTGCCTTGGTGTTTAGTCATGCGGCCAGCCACATGTCCACAGAAATGTCTTCACACAGTACTGGCTCTCTTCAGCTTGGAAACAGAGATGCATGAGTGCCACGACCCTAGAGTTAGATTCAGCTGGTTTTCCAGCAAGGGAAGCCTTTACCGATTTAAATTAAACTTTGTTGGGGTTAAAGGTGCCACTGGACTCAAACTTTGTTCTGTTTCCTAGCAGGGCAGGCACAAATGTATCTGAAGAAGTGTGCGTGCACACAAAAGCTTATAATGATGCATATGTATCTTATAGAGTTTCTTTGTTTGCTTTAGCAGTGTCCAAAATTAGATCTATGGGGCTGGTTACCTGATTAAATCGGTTTTAGCCTTTTTATTAGCACGATTTTTACCATGCACCTTGGTGTTTAGTCATACCGGCCACATGACCATGGCAATATCTTCGGACAGCGCTGGCTCTTCGGCTTGGAAACGGAGATGCAACCCTAGAGTCGAGCAAGGGAAACCTTTACCTAATGGTGGTAATTTTTGTTATTGCTATGGTCTCTTTGTATTTTGCAATGGCTTAATTCAATAAATTTACTTGTACTTGTAACTGTGTTGGTTTTAAAGGTGACCCTGGACTCGAACTCTGTTCTGCTGCTGCAAGACCCACACGGCTACCCCACCTAACGCTCCGTTCTCATTGATCCCCAGAACTAAACTTTGTTGGTCTCCAAGGTGCCCCTGGACCCACTGTGTTCTATAACCCTACACGTTTTGTTCTATAGCCCTCCACGAAGCAGCACCCTGCCCTTTTCCATCCTCACAACCTCGACGTTTCCTTCATAGTCTCCCCCCCGGAATAAAGTTTTTCCTCCTCCAAAACTTAAAAAATTGTTCCTCCTCCAAACCGGTAGAGATCCTCCCTTTAAAGAGGGATTTCCCCCCCCAACACGACCTCTCGCGAGATTACAGCACCCGTTCCCGGAAGATTAAAAAAAACTTTCGGCCGAGACGGGGGGGGCGGGGCGGAGGAGAACCCCCTCTTCCCTCTCCCCTCTTCTTCCAACCCCGCGAGAGCTCGCGAGGCCCCGTGCGCCTGCGCGCGAGGAAGGGCGAGAGAGAACGCGCACGTGCGTGTTCTCGCGGTATTTGGAGGGGCAGGCTCAGGTAGCGCGCGCGCCCGCGCGGCAACAGCCACTAAGAGAGAGAAAGAGGGGAACTGAGGGGGGGGGGAAAGAATCGCCCCCCCTCCTCCGAGCGGTCGTAAAGGAAGCGGCGGCAGCGGCGTCGCGAGAACGGGCGGCCGACGAGGGCGGCAGCGGCAACAGCGGCTCCTCCTCTGTACTCTCGCGAGACTTGGGCGGCTAACCTTCTCCCTTCACTTTCCTACCTTCCGCGCCGCCCCCCCCCCTTCAATTCGGAGCCTCGAAGCGGCGCCTTTTGGCTGTGGGGAGGCGGAGGATGGGGGCCCCCGCGGGAGGCCTCGCTTGACTCGCCGGCCCAGGCCGGTGAGGGGACTCGCCCCTGCGGGAGCGCGGCCGCGGCTCTCGCGCCTCCTCCTCTGTGGGGAGGGGGGGGTCCCCTTACCTGGGCCCTCTTGCTGCGGGGAGAGTCCCTGCTTGGGGCGAGTGGGGGGAGGGTCTCAGAGTCCCCACCCGGGAAGTCTCTGCAACCAACGGGGGGGGGGCGGAGGGGGAGGAGCCTAGGATGAAAGGGAAGGACGAAGACTGACTCGGGGCCTTAACAGCCCGTCCTTCCCATCCTACCCCCGATGCTGGGGATGATCTAGGCAGAGCTACCTGTCCCCTACCCGGAGGATTTAGGGGAACCCCCCTCCCGGCTCAGAGATCTGCCTGTGAGACAGCGGACCTAACAGACCAAACGGTTTTGCCTTCTCATCTAGATTTCTTTATAGACTTTGCCCATCGGCCACATTCCTCCCTCATGCAGGAGTGAGAAAGGTGGGTTGAATGTGGGAGAAAAGTTAGGGGGGGAAGGGAGAAAAGCCCCTCGGTTGTGGAAGGGAGCGAGAAAGGTTAGTGGGGTTTTTTTGGGGGGGGTTGGAGGCTTGCCCCCCCCTCTTTCCAAGCACAGTGGAGAAGGAATGCCAAACCCAGAGAGACATGTGGGCAAGAAGGATGCAGGGGGAGGGGGGTCCTTGCATCAGGAAGCGGTGGCGAGCAGTGGGAGCTCCAATAGCAAAGAGAGGCACCGGCTCTCCAAGCACAAAAGACACAAGTCCAGGCATTCCAAAGACTCACCCTTGGGCTCCCAAGAAGGAGCCACATCTCTGGGAGGCATGATCAAGCCACTTGTGGAGTACGACGACATCAGCTCCGATTCAGATACCTTCTCGGATGAAGCAGTTATAAAGCCGGAACATCGGGATAATGATGAGAAGAAAGGGGCATCGGAGAGGAGTGACCGGTTACATAGGCATCGCCATCACCAGCACAAGCGTGTTCGTGAGCTGATGAAAAGCAAGCAGGTGGACAAGGAAAAGAGGACGGAGAGGAACCAAGAGTCCTTGGGCAAGCTGAGTTCTACCAAGGATAGAGTGTTGGGAACCTCCAGAAGACTCCATGAAGAGAACGATGACCACTCAAAGTCATCTAAGAGCAGTAGTAAGGAGTCCCGCTCAGCCAAATTACATAGGGAGAAGTCCAGGAAAGAGCGCGAGGTGAAATCTGGGCACAAAGACCGCAGTAAAAGCCACCGGAAAAGGGATGCCCCTAAGAGCTACAAATCAGTTGACAGTCCAAAGCGGAAATCCAGGAGTCCTCACCGCAAATGGTCGGACAGTCCAAAGCAAGATGACAGTGCTTCAGGCGCATCCTACACCCAAGACTATGATCTAAGTCCTCCACGTTCGCACACGTCTAGTAACTACGATTCCTACAAGAAGAGCCCCGGTGGGTCCTCAAGGAGGCCATCAGTTAGCCCACCATACAAGGAACCTGCTGCATATCAGTCCAATGTGCGCTCTCCCAGCCCTTATGGGAGGCGCCAGAGGTCTGTTAGCCCATACAGCCGGAGACGGTCATCTAGCTATGAGAGGGGAAGTGGATCATACAGTGGACGCTCCCCAAGTCCATTCAATCGACGACGTTCCAGCAGTCCTTTTATCTCCAAGCGGTCGCTGAGCCGGAGTCCTGTGTCCAGGTGTGTGGTTTTTATGGTTGATTTTTTAAAAAGTGGACCTCTCTGGTTCAGGTGTGGTGGAAGGTCCTGATAACCTGAAGCTGATATTACTGTTGTTGTAAAAAGATGCTTTTAAAAAAAAGAAACTTGTAATGAGAGTAATTTAATGCACATAACTTTTATAGCTTATTTTACAACAGTCCTGTGCTTTGGGTAATTATCCCAGTTCTACTGCTGTGGGGACTTAATTTGGAAAGGCGCTAGCTCCAGTCAACAAATGAGACAATGAGTGAACTATAATTTTGAAAGTTCAATTTAATAAAATATCCTGGGTCATGGTTCATATCGTGGCTTGTTCTTAAAGCGCAGAGGTGAGAGAGATGCCCAGAATGGGTTTGATGGCTAGTACTTTTTGTTGAAACCAGCTTAAGTTAATTAAAATAGGCAGGGTTTAGAACCACTCAGCACCGAAGTCTCTGGTTCTGTTGTCTGTTCATGTTAATGTAGGTAGTACGTTTCAGTAAAAAATTAGTTATTTGGATTGTAAGTGTTGTCAAACTAGAAAAGACTTCACAAGTCAAAATGAAGTTTTCCAGTGTGTTGTGGAATCGCAGTCTCCTTCTGTGTTGTAACTTGGATCTCAGGTTGTGTTTGGAAATATTTCCAGGGAATAAATGCTCACATGGGTAGAGGGAAAAGGAAGCTTAAAAAAGCCCTTTGACTAAAGCTCTTGTAATCTGAGAGGGAGGAGCTGTGGCTCAGTGGAAGAGCCTCTGCTTTGCATGTAGAAGATCCCAGGTTCAATCCCTGCCATCTCCAGTTAAAAACAACCAGAGAGTAAGTCATGGGAAAGACCTCTGCCTGAGACCCTGGATAGCTGCTGCCAGTCTGAGTAAACAATACTCATCCTAATGGACCTAAGATCCAATTCAGTATAAAGTGGCTTCATATGTGTTCATATGACAGAATCCAGGTGTCATAAAATCTGTTTAAATTGACCTTGAGAGCAACGAGTACCTTTTGCTATAAATCATTGATATATAAAGCTGAATGAGACCTTGATGATTGCCCTGTTATGTCTGTCTTGCATGAGATGAGTTTGCACTTTCTCAACTATTTGGAAGCTGCTGAAATTGCATGATTCCCTGAATCTGTAAAACTGAAAATACTGTTCACCACACGTATCATTGTGGGGCTAACCTGGCAGCTGAAAAGGTAATTGTCCTTGGGTAGTTCTGTGTAGTTGCTGCTGGTACTTTGTATGTGACCTTGGGGTTTTGTTGTGACTTGTCTGTGCTCTGTCTAGCTACTAGGATTTTGTCAATGTAGACCAAGCATACTTGTCCCCTGGCTGTGCTGGCTGTTGACAGGGTTCATATCTGTTTCGCTGGGAACTCTGTGGCTGGTTTGAGCAAGTTACCATCTCTCACCATTGATTTCCTCTTCTGTACCAGTTTGGTGTAGTGGTTAAGAGCGTGGACTCTAATCTGGGAGGACCAGGTTTAATTATCCACACCTCTACATGCAGCTGCTGGACGGTGTGACCTTGGGTCGGTCACAAGTTCTCTTGGAGCAGTCCTTGAAAGAGCTCTCTCAGCCTCACCTACCTCACAGGGTGTCTGTTGTGGGAAGGGGGAGGGAAAGAAGATTGTAAGCCGCTCTGAGATTCTGAGTGAAGGGCGGAATATAAATCCAAATTCTTCTTCTGTACAATGGACATACTAATGACTTTCCTCCCAGGGCTGTTAAAAGGATGAATGAAATAATTGGCATAAAGTGTTCTTTTTGAGAAACATTACTTCACAAATAGCTATTAGCTTGTTAAAATGTCCAGTGATTGGAAGGGTAGAAATGAAATTGCCTAGGAGGAGCAGGTGTAAGGCCAATGTACTCTTGGGGATAGAGAGATGGAATAAGATCCTGGAGTCCAGGTTTGAATCCGCACTCTAGTATGAAGCTTACTGGGTGACTGATCACACTGTCTCAACCTAACAAAACAAAGTTTGAGTCCAATGGCACCTTTAAAGGCCAACAAATTTTGTTGCTCTTAAAGGTGCCAGTCGACTCAAACTTTGTTCTGTTGCTTCAGACCAACATGGCTACCCATCCAAATCTGGCTCAACTTAAGTCTACTCTGCCGGATGATTGTGAGAATATAACGGGGAAGACAGAGCTGCCCAGAGCTGTTTGGAGGAAGGTTAGGATACTAGATATGTTAGGCCTGCTTTTCAAAACCTGTCCGTGTTCTTCTACCTCACCGGGTTGTTATGAGGATAAAATTGAGATGAGGAGAGCAGTGTAAGCTGCTTCAGGTCCCCATTGGGGGGAAAACCGGATATAAACGTAGTAAATAGAAGCAGCTGTTTGGTGCGATGTGCTTCCATATGAACAGCTGGCAGCCATTCTGTGATAGGAGGAAGTCCGGCGGTTACACAGGCGTATTATGGAGTGAGGACTCCACTTGTTCCTGCCCCAGATGAACTGAGTCAAGCTTCCCTGTGTCTGAATATCTCTACCCTGTATTCTCTTTTCGTTATTATTAGAGTAGAATGGGTCTTGGAAACAAGCTTTTGTGCACAAGGTTAATATGCAGTGTCTGTACAATGCTTTTCGAGCATTCAGAGGGCTTTGCATACATGTTTCGGTGCTTATAGCAGCTTTGTACACAGGCCTCTTGTGATGATCCCATGTTGTAGGTGCTGTGGTTGAGAGAGAATGACAACTTGCCAAAGGCCATGTACTTTGTTCCATTACTAAAGCAAGGTTTGAATGGGAAATGTCATTAGTCGTATGAACCTCCAAGCTTGGTGTGGCTAGCTTACTCCCCAAAAAGTACAAAAATAAAATTACAAATAATATACTTCCAGTAAGTTTTACTTATAAATATGCCTAACATGAGAAAATACTTATTTATCAGGTTTTCCTATGTAATGTAGCAATTTTTTGTTGATCTATATCCTAATATGGCTTCTGTGAAATGCTGCAGTTTTTCATTGTAACCCTCCAAGTAACTGTTCTTTATGTGGGAAAGACTAAGAGTTCAAAGAATTTGCCAAAACTATGTTTGTCAGATTCAGGTGGGGTAGCTGTGTTGGTTCCAAAGCAGCAGGGCAAAGCTTAAGTCCAATGGCACCTTTAAGACCAACAAAGTTTAACTCTGGGTATAAGCTTTTGTATGCATGCATGCTTTTCCAGATACAGTGTCTGAAGAAGTATGCATGCACATGAAAGCTTATACCTTGAAGAAAACTTTGCTGCTCTTAAAGGTGCCACTGGACTCAAACTTTGTTCTGTGTTTGTCACTGTTGGTAAAACTAGTACCATTTCTTGATCAGAGTCGCACTGTTGCATGTGATCAATTAAGAAGACTTCCTCTTTAAAGCAAGAACCTGCTTTAATATTTCCAATATATTTCTAACTGTTCTCCAAATGGCTTTCTTGCCTGTGTGATTTAAATTGCCATTATTAGGTGCTTATCTGACTTTCTGTTCCAAGCCTTCCAGGAAGGAGATGCTGGAGCTTCATGGGGCAGCTTGTTTGCATAATTCAACTGCTCTTTCAAGCACAAAGCATATTCTGGTAGCAAGCTCATATTTGCTGTGTTACAGCTTGAGTCCAGTGCAGGACAAGTTAGCTCAACTTCAGGATTAAAGGAGCTGCCTCTTCCTGCACGTCAAGCAAGCATTGCCGGAAGCTGGCATGCAACATCTCTGTGTTTAATGAGAGAGGAATAGTTCACATGAGTCGACTGCTATCATCTCAAGGTACCTGATGTACTTTTTGGATGCTGCCGTGGGGAGATGACAACTTGGCTGAGCCACTATCATGTGCAGCATAGAGCATTGTGCTTGGATTTTTTTTTGTTGGAGAAACAGAATATAATTGTATCTCAAAGCAACTTCAGTAAAGATCAATAGGACAAATGGAGGCAATGGGAAACATTAAGGAATTAATGTGTGTGAGTGAACAGTGAGGGCGAATCCCATTTCTGTTCATTTTTAGCACACTCTCGGTCACCTGACTGGCTTTGCAAATAACCTCATTGCTTTTCTTGCCTTTGATGAATCCTCCTTTTCTCATCCATTTGGTGCAGGTGGCGCTTGCTATTGCCAGTAGCTTAAGGAACCCTTATCAAATAAACTGAGGTCCCTGCCACACGGGGGGGGGGGGGGAATCCCCCGGGATCGTTTTGAAGGGCAGAGCTTTCCAGACGTT